CTTCTTGAAGTAATTTCAGATTGTAAAATTTTTCATTTAGTCGGTGTACGGTTTACCTGTCTTTTTAGCCATCCGAATTAATGTCATATAGTGTTGTGCGACATACACTAGACCAGATTTTACGAAACGCTTTACTTGCTTTTCTATGATGCTGTACACATTGTCACCTTCGTTTTGAGAGTGTCCGCGAATCAGAAATTTAAGGGTTATGCTTTTGATATTCATTTTCTTTACTGCGTGCGCATATGCTGTAAGGATGTATTTATTTTTTGCTGTCCGCAACAATTATAAGAATAAAATATAAAGTCAAGTTCTCTACGAGAAGTAGCCTGTATATTTTTTTTCCAAATATTACAGAGTGCAACTTTCAATCTCATTCGCTGTTTCACTGTTTAGGTCAATTTCTTAAAGTCCTTGATGACTCGTAAATGGTAAAGGTATAGGTGGTGGTTGTACTTTCGCAAGGTCACTGGTTTCTATTTGAGCACCAGGTTCATTATTTGTAACCTCCAGTGACAATAACGACGGTGAAGAGATTTCGTGCTCGCAATCCTCAGCAGTTGTTGCTATAGCAACAAGTAATCGCCCACGATTCAGATATTGAACGTAAAAATGAATCAAATAATATTATTATATTAAGTGTATAGTTACTTGATTCAAGAATGTCACAAAGAGTGTAGTAACCCTAAATTTATAAAATAAAGTTGTTGGCAAGCTTTCTTAATAACACTGCTACACATTTTAAATCAGTTATTTCTATCCAGTGATCAACAAATAGATAATGATTAATAAAAGTTTTACAAATAATAACAAAAATGAATTAAAATGATGAGTCAACTATAATGTAGCATGTCAAAAATAATGAACTGAACCAATAATAGTGTCGTTAGTAAAAATATATAGACAGATATTCTATCAAGAGTCAGTAGGAGCCAGTAGGAACCAGGAAGAGAGGCAGGCCAAGATCTAGATTTAAAACTCAAGTCGAAGATGACTTGAGGAATCTAGGGGTCAGAAATTGGAAAGCCAGGCGAAGGATAGGGGGGAATGAAGACTAATACTTGAACAGGCCGAAACCCACCCAGGGTTGTAGAGCCAAAGATGATGATGAGTAAAAATATTAATTTAAAAAGTTCTGGTGTAAATCAGTAATAGAGTAATAACTAAAAAAACAACAGTGTTATGTTTAGATTCAAATCAACAAGAATGTAATAACTTAAAATATAGCTATGGATATTACATACCTGATTCAGCAATAACGTGGAAACTCGAAATGATGAGCAAAACAACACTTGCATTCCCGATCACTGTTGGTCGCAACAAAAGATAACGTAATATTGTGAGGGGGTGACAACAGTCAGTCAGTTATGAATAACGTCTTATGTTGCCATCTTTTATTCATTTATTGCACTATTAAAACGACAGTTTTATTGACTGGTAGAAAATTGTATTTTACGTGTGAATATAGTGTTATGTCAATATCGGAACATTTTGAGTTGCGACACTATTGTATTTAGTGGGATATTATGGTAAATCCATAACTGAATATAAACCCAGCTGATAAATATATAATATAATCAATAAACGTCAAAATATGAACAACTGTGATAAACTACTTTAAACATTTTATTTGCTACATATTTCTAAAAATATGCATATATATTTTGTAGGTGTAGTAAAATAAAAAGTAAAAGCATTTTAATTTTAGTTTTTATATTATTTAAAGAAAAAAATAAAATCTTTTATCTTTCATTGGCGGTACAAGACGATTCCGGAGCTAGATCCGTCCCTTGGGTCAAAGGCCCTATGGCTGGATTGTGTTGCTCTCTGGGCGTAATTATCTTAATAGCACCCTTGGTGCATAAATAACTATTATTTATTTTTTAGAGCTCGCACTGTAGCAGATAAGATTACAGTAACACATATTGGAACACGTAGCTTATTCCAAGATTTTAAGAAATTGTTTAAAACTCTCTACGATGGAATACATCCCGTAATTGAACTGGTATTGCCTCCTCATAAGGACGTCTTCGATGTAAGTATTGTGTCTATACATTTCTTATAAATATGCAAGAATGTTGTTTCTTTATTTTTGTATGCCGGACACGTTAAATTACTCATTTTATTAAAGAATGGAATTTATGTTTAAATTAATATAGGTTATATAGAAGAAGGAAGTATATGCCTGTTTGATTTATTTTGAGAAGGCATTTGACAGAGTGCAGCATAATCGGCTTAAAGAACTTTTATTAAATAAAAACATAGACAGTAGAGACATTAGAATCATAGGTAACCTCTATTAGGACCAAACAGCAAAAGTGAAAGTTGAAAATGAACTGACTGAGGATATCCAGATTCGCCGTGGGGTCCGCCAAGGGTGTATTTTATCACTCTTGTTATTCAATTTATACAGTGAATCCATCTCAGAATTAGCTCTTGCCGAGATCAGTGAGGGCCTTATAATAAACGATGAGCCACTTAATAACATAAAATATATCGACGACACCGTCCTTTTGGCAGGAACACTGAAAGAACTACAACACTTTGCTGAACAACTAAATATATATTGCAACGATTATGGACTAAAAGTAAATTTGAAGAAATCCAAGTTCATCATCATCATCTTTGGCTCGACAATTCTCTGTGGATCTTGGCCTGCTCTAAGATTCGTCGCCATTCTGTTCGGTTTTTGGCAACATGTTGCCATCTTCTAATTTTTAATATTCGTAAGTCGGTTTTAACTCCATCTAACTACCTAATTCGCGGTCGGCCTTTGCTTCTTTTTTCTATAGGTGTTCCTGTGGTGAGCTTTTTAGCAATCGTATTTTCTGGCATTCGTATTATGTGTCCAGCCCATCTACGTCGCTGTGTTTTAATGAACGTTATGACATCTGGCTCATCAAAGAGCTGATACAATTCAAAATTATATCTTCTGCGCCACTGCCCTTTGTTGTTTACAGCTCCAAATATTTTGCGAAGTATTTTACGCTCAAATATTCCCAAAAGTCTTTCATCTTTCTGCGTTAGAGTCTATGTTTCTGCTCCATATGTGAGGACCGGCCTCAGCAATGTTTTGTATATAATAATTTTAGTTCTTCTTTGAATGTTTCTTGAGTGGAAATGCTTTTGGAGTCCACAGTATGCCCTATTTGTAAGATTTATTCGTCTTTTGATTTCTTCGCTTGTTTTATTGGTAGCAGTCAATAGTGACCCAAGGTATGTGAAGTTCTCAACACGTCCAAAGGTATGACTTCCAAAGACTGTTTCTTGTTCCTCATTTGCTATCGGATTCTTTGTAACCAACTAAGACTTGTATCGATCTATTGTAAATAGTACCGCTATCCCTAATTCGTGTATCTCGGACTGCCTTTTCTAAAGCAATATTAAATAGGAGGCAAGTCAGAGCATCCCCTTGTCTGAGTCCATCCTTTATCTCAAAGGATCTAGAACTCTCTCCCTGTATTCTAACAGTGGCTTTTAAGTTAGACATTGTCATTCTCGTTAATCGAATAAGTTTCTCTGGTACACCAAACTCATGCATTGATTGGTATAGTACTGTTCTCTTGACACTGACGTATGCGGCTTTGAAGTCGACGAATAGGTGATGGGTTTCAATATTGAATTCTAATGTTTTCTCGAGAATATGTCTTATTGAATGAATCTGGTCAATTGTTGATTTTTCTGGAGTGAATTTAGCTTGATATTTACCAACTATGCCCACTGTGTAAACTTGCAGCCTTTCATAGAGAATATTTGCTAGTATTTTGTAAGCAGTTGTTAACAAAGTTATACCTCTACAGTTTTCACACTGGAGCTGGTCACCTTTTTTATGTAACGGGCATATCACGCCTTGAGACCATTCACAAAGCATGGTCTCATTATGCCAAACAAGAAGTAGAAGCTTATGCAGTGTCTGTAGTAGGGCATCGCCACCATTCTTGTAGAGCTCACTGCAAATTTGATCAACTCCTGGTGATTTATTATTTTTAAGCTTTTTAATGGCTTGAGCAACGTTTTCGATGGTAGGTGGTCTTTCGTTTGGGTTAAAAGGATTCCAATCATTTCGATTTGCTAGGGTGTTATCTGCTTCTTCGATATGATGGCCATTAAATTTTGCATCGAAAAATTTAACCCATCTGTTTAGGATTGAGGCCGTATCATTTAGGATATTTCCTTCTTACATCCTTACAGCTCCTTATTCTTGGCTTAAACTCTTTGCGTTTTGTTAGATTTCTGTAGAACTTTCGAGTTTCATTTTGATTTTTTAGCCATTCTGTGCTTTCCAACTCCTCCTCAATCCTTTAGCCTTGTCAGGGCGTAGTGACACCCTAAATATTATTAGTCTGCTGTCTCCATTGACTGCGATCTTGTGCCATAGGACGGCTTCATGTAGGGATTTTCCTTTCCATGGAAAGCCATGTAGGCTTTCAACTGCTTCTGCTTAAATTGTCTTTTTTTCTTCTATGTAATCGTTTTTCTTCTCTGCTTAGGATCCGGTATTCGTCCTTTGCTCTTCTTGTGCATCCAGCTTGATTTGTCTTTAGGTATGCCCTGTTTTTGTTTGCTTCTTGGCACTTCTTGTCAAACCATTCGTTTTCTTTAACTGGTTTGGTTTTCCCCAATATTTTTGTTGCTTTCTCCGTTATTATGTTTTTACATTTTGTCCACAGTTCTTCTACATTTTCCCCCACCTCCAGGCTCTCCATTTCCTCGTCCATTTGTCTCCTATACTCTCTCGCAGCGGTTTCAATGCTCAGATTATCAACATTAATTCTGTCTTGTTTCGTGTGTTTATTTTTCTTTAGGTTTAATATTCTTCCTCTGATTTTTGCTGGTCACTGTCAATGTTTGGGCCTCGGTAGCTTCTGACGTCTATTAGATCGGAAAAGTGCCTTGCATCTATCAGGATGTGATCTATCTGGTTAATGGTTTCGTTATCAGGGGATTTCCATGTTCCTTTGTGTGTCATTTTATGGGGAAATCGTGTTCCTTCTACTATCATGTTTTTAGTACTTGTAAAGTTGATTAATCTCAACCCGTTATCATTTGACTCTTCATGTAAGCTCTCACCTCCTATAGTTGGTTGGAAAAATTGCTCTTTGCTAATCCAAGTTCATGGTATTTACAAAAGCACAAAACATCAAAGTTAAGCTAGTACTAGATAATACAGAAATTAAATAAATATCTTCGTACAAATACCTTGGAGCATGGATCACAGAAGATACTGATCAGACAAAAGAAATAAGATGCTGCATTGAAATTGCACGGTCAACTTTTAATAGAACGAGAAAACTTTTGTGTAATCGCAATATCAATATATTCCTCCAGATAAGAATGCTTCGATGTTATATTTTCTCTACCCTTTTGTATGGAGTTGAAGGTTGGACACTTAAAAAATCCAACATTAAAAACCTAGAAGCATTCAAAATGTGGTGTTACCTACGTATTTCGAAAATATCATGGATGGATCGCAAAACAAACGAACAAGTTCTCGAACAACTAGGAAAACAATGTGAAGTTTTAAATTCCACAAAAACGAACTACTAAGGAATATAATGCAGGGTAAAATCAAAGGCAGAAGAAGCGTAGGAAGACGAAAAATCTTGTGGCTACGCAATCTATGTGAATGGTTTAGATGCAGGTCAGTTGAACTATTCAGGCGCGTAACCAACAAAATTATAATTGCCAAAATGATTTCCAATCTCTGATAGGAGTGGAACTTAAAGAAGAAGAATAAAAAAGGCACTAAACTAATTTAAAAAAATAATGTTTAAAACCAATAGAAACACGCATGGTTTTACCCTGCACTCAAGAAAACTTTTCTCAATATATACGTGCTGTTTTAGATGGACTATATAATCCAAATGTTTCATTTATTTTATTTAATGTAAACTAATCAAAATTTTTTATTAGAAATTTTTTTTTGACGTTTCGATAAACCACAAACAAGGGATATCTATTCTCAAATATATAAATATTATTTGCAGGTAGCCGCCGAAGCTGCACAGAAAGTTGTGAGACTATTTGTTCACAACAACGAACCACTGTGGGATCTCTTGGATAAGATCATACTTGCTTTATCTTCTGTTGTAAGAGTTACAATCAATAGTCTTATAGATATTCTCTTAGGACCTCAATAAAAAGCTGAAGCCATGCTACATAGGTTTTTCTAGATTGTAATAACGTTTTGGATAAAATTTATGTATGATTTGCCAATAAATTGTTTAAAAAATCGTGTTTGTTTTATTATATACACCATGTGATTTTAATCATTTGTAAAATGCAGTGCGTTCTGCACTGCATTTCTGCATCATGTGAAAAATATGTAGGTATATAGGTGCATTGTTTGCTGTATATAAACATTTGACCTGCAATAGGAGTATAGTACATGAAGGATTTATAATAAGGAAAATATATATTTTTATTTTCATATATGTTTAAAAGGAGTTGAATGCAAAAAAAAACGTTTTTACACATACTCTGCAGTAAAATTCATTGTTTATTTTGGTATTAATATAAAAATACAATACAACACACTGCAACATCATTCAATATAATAATACAATACAAATTAAAATGCAATATTCATAACATTACTTACGCATATGTTTAATTTACCATGATAATCATATTAATAAAAAAATAATAATATTAATACATATTAAATATATTTACAAAAGAAACTCTTTTATTCTCGAGAGAGCAAGAGAAAGAAAATGTATCTTCTGTCTCTCTCTTATCTATATCTTACATATGTTTTTGCCGATTCACTGCCGTACAAATTTCCAACGTTGTACGCGCGTATAGAAATATAACTTCAAAAAGTATTTGTGGGAGATAAAACTAAAAAACCAACAACTCGGATTATGTCGTAAATTTTTATTTTATTTCAAAATTTAGTATTTTTGCGTATATTACATATATTTACTAAGATTTACGTGAAGTCTTTAAATATTTCAAAAATAAAAAAAAACTTATTGGGATTTGAACTCACATATACCAGCATATGAACAAAACACGTAAAAAATTTGCCAATTAGACATGACACTAACGTATTTCAAAATTGACAGTTCTCAGTCACACAGTAATTTAATGTAATTATTATTTTGAAATACAAAAGCCTAAAATAATTATGAACATTTAATAAATTAAATCACATAAATAATAATATTAATATATTATATAATATATTATTAAATGTATATACAAAAGGAATATTTTTAGAGAGAATGGAGAGAAAATATATGTTCTGTATCTATCTTCATCATTTCTTACATATGTAATGATTTCACCGATTTACTCCCGTACAAATTTCCAAGGTCAAACGCTCCTATAGAAGTATAACTTTAAAAACTGTCCGTGGTAACGTTTCTACTACAATAGATCCTTTGCCGTTCGCCACCTAGTAGCTTTCCAGTAACAAATTATCCTTGTAATGGGTAAACATTTTGCGCGTCGCATGCCCATAAGTCTTAATACCAATGTATTGTTTTTATAATAACAAAATATAATGGCACAGTATCCTTAGTAACCATCATGTACTTGGTATATTGGATATTACGTCTTCGGTATAAATATTGCTCAATATCTAGCCTATGCCCTATTATGTCAATGTCATCAGCCGATGCTAAGATTTGTATCAATGTATTGTAAATAGTACTGCTGTCTCTAATTGGTTTGTCTTTTCCAAGGCAATATTAAATAAAATGTAAGCCAGAGTACCATCTGTTCTAAGTCCATCCTTTATCTCGAGTCCATCGTTTTAATTCTAGAATTCTCTCCGATATCTTAACCATGGCTTTCAAGTTAGACATTGTCATTATGGTTAATCGGATAGGTTTTTCCGGTACAATAAACTCGCGAATTGATTGACACTCTCGTACGTGGTCTTGAAGTCGACGAATATGTGATGTGTTTCAATATTAAGTTTTAATATTTTCTCGAGTATCTATCGTATTGAATTATTTTGGTTAATTATTGATTTTTGTAGTGGAGGTAGCCTTATATTTTCCAACTATGCCCACTGTGTAAACTGTAGTATTTTGTAGAAAATATTTGCTAGATCTTTTAAAAAGTTGTTTGTTGGGTTATAAGTCTGTGTTAGTTATCACACTGGAGCTTTTTTATGTAACGGGCATTGCGCGTCTTAAGACTATGTGTGTAGCAGGGCGTCGCCACCATTTTTGTAAAGCTCACTGCTAACATAATTAGTCTTTCTCTTTAAACCTTTCCAGTCAGATGATCCCATTTGGGATCATAGCAATGTTTGCTGTTTTAGCATCGAGCAATAAGACAAAAGAGGGAATCTAATCCTTATGAAAAGGAGACCAAAAAAGTGGCCTCTGATGGCGGACATATCCGGAAATGCGAATGCGCGAAATTTAAATTTTCCGACACTTATCAACAGTAGCTATATAATATTTTTCAGAATTTGTCTTAGACGAGAAAGTTTTAATTAATTATTAATGATAAGAGTCTAAAATGCCACACAATTGTTAAAAAACTTCAATATAAATAAGATTTCATGTGACATTTGGGACAAACAATAACATAACCCAACTAAATTTGATGTCAAACAAGGAGAGAGACTCTCTATCCTTGTTTAAAGTGGCCTCTAAAGATCGCACTTCCTGTCTAACAATATGTTTGCCCCCACTACCTTTACATTCCCTCTATTGTCTTTTTGCTCGATGTGTTTTAGCGACAAAGGAAACTACGTATGTCGATTTGGCGAACGGTATTGCGTTGCCTCACCTACCTACTAGATGACGCTGCATTAGTTTATTTGACAATTCTATCAGTAAGCGTTGGTCACATTTCAATATAAAACTTCATAGTAAAACAACGATCATCCATTCGCTGTAAATTTCAAATCATTCTAAGATGAGTAATTGAATCAGTAATTGCACGAAAAAATTTATTTTGCTTCTTACATTGTTTTTATTTGATAATGTGCATTATAGTTTGCTCACATTTACAAGATTGTTTATGTAAAAATTATAAATATCAATGAATCCAAATGGATTTATTGGACCATTGTAGAGGTCTCCAAATGATATCATTGGAAAGTCGTGTGAATTTTGTTTCTGTCAATAAAATACAAAAGTACAATATACTTTTTTAATTCAGATGGATCGTGTATTCAAATCTACGAAAACCAAACTTTCTTTTTGGGAATTGCAAAATCTGTACCAAAAAGAGGTAGTGGTCTTCTTGACGACTCTAATATCAAATTTGATGTTAATAATGAGGAAGAGTTTTTTTGAAAAAGAAATGATTGAAGAAACTTAAATAGAAGAATGATTGGAAAATATTGTTGAAGATAGCTTCAACACCCAAGTTACAGAGAATATGGAAGAAAAAACTGTTTAAGAAATTACAGAAGGCCACAGACAAGTCATGCCGAGAAAAAAAAAGCTTAGAAAATCCAACTTGGATAGAAAACAATTTAATTGATGTAAACAGCCAATACAGAGGTGATTTTTCAGTTGATGAAAATAGTTATTTTACAAACGAGGAAGTCGAGATAACCGTACAAGAAGTAAAACAAACTTTAGAAAAACTGAAGAACAGAAAAGCTGCAGGTAAAGATGGAATTCCAAATGAATTATTGAAATATGGTGGAGAAGCATTAACAGAACAGCTAACAGCACTAATTAACAAAATCATCAAACATAATAAAATACCTGAAGAGTGGAAGAAAAGCGAGCTTATCCAATACAAAAAAGGAGATAAAAAACAACCTGAAAACTACAGAGGTATCAACTTATTAAATACCACTTTGAAGCTTACAACCAAAATATTGCAAGGCCAAATAAATTAGAGAATTACCTTAGCGGATGAACAGCAGGGTTTTCGCACAGGAAGATCGTGCACAGATGCAGTATTCATCATAAAACAGATTACCGAGAAAGCACTAGAGTATAACAGACCAGCATTCATATGTCTAATAGACCTGAAGAAAGCGTTCGATAAAGTAAAGCTTAAAGATGTAATTCACCTTCTTTACGATAGAGAAATTCCACTAAATGTTATAAAAACAATAGAGAACATTTACCAGAACAACAATATGGAAGTCAGAATAGATGACCAGCTTACAGATCCAATAGATATGGGCAATGAATTAAGACAAAGAGACTCGCTTAGTCCAACGCTATTCAATCTAATCATGGATGAAATCCTCAATACTATTAATAAAGAAAGAGGATACAAAATGGAGAACAAAGAAATCAGAATACTCTGCTATGCAGATGATGCAGCCCTAATTGCATCCAATGAAGACGATCTACAAAGACTAACCCATAGATTCAACACAAGGGCAAAGGACTTTAATATGGTGATCTCTACACAGAAAACTAAAACAATTGTAATCAGTAAAGAATCAATTAGATGTAAACTGGAAATCGACGGTGTCAGCATTGAGCAAGTAATGGAGACAAATTACCTAGGAATTACACTGTCTAGCTACGGAGATGTGGAGAAGGAAGTGAAAAATCAAGTACAAAAGGCTAATAAAATAGCAGGTTGTCTTAATAACACGATATGGCGTAATCCCCACATTAATACCGACGTGAAATCAAGAATCTACAAAGCAACAATAAGACCAATAATGACATACACTTCAGAGACAAGACCGGATACCTCCAAAACTCAGCAACTACTAGAAACAGCGGAGATGCGTTTACTGAGGAGAATTACAGGAAACACACTAAGGGATCGAATGAGGAGTGAAGAGATCAGAAGAAAATGCAATATACCAGAAATAAATAAGTGGACACTGAACAGAAAAAAGGAATGGAACGAACACATAAACAGAATGGAAGAAACCCGATTAGTCAGAATAGCGAGGGACAATTCACCAAAAGGTAGAAGAAGTATCGGGCGACCACGCAAAAGATGGAGTGATAACCTCCAATAGATTCATTAATCGACATTGAACAAGCATTTTGCTTATAAAAAAGAACAAGAAGAAGAAGAAGAAGAAAATAGTTATACGTCTTTTCAATATTTTAAAAATTTTTAGTGACAATGATATTATTCAAAATTTTGCTGAGCAGACAAACTTGTATTGTGTGCAAACAGTAAAAATATTAATAAAAACGCAGCAGAGATAGAGCAGTTCTCAGGCATACATGTATTGAGTGGAACTGTTCGTGTTCCTTCGTATAGAATGTATTGGGCAGAAGAAACGCAGTATAATACGATAGCTGATATGCCACGTAATCGTTTTGATAAATTGCAAGCATATTTTCTTGTCAGCGATAATTTGAAAGACTCGTCTAGCAATAATGACAAATTATATAAAGTAAAACCTTTCATTAAAAAAGTTCGTCAAAATATGAATAAGATAGAACTTAAGGAATTCAAAAGCATCGATGAGTTTATTATACCATTCAAACGACAAAGTAATCTAAAGCAATATAAACAAATAAACCTCATAAATGAGGCATTAAAGTTTTTGCAAGTTTGCAAGTTTTTATTATACAATTTTGAGATATATTTGGGGAAAGGAACAGTTCAAGATGAATCAGGTATTGGAATTAGTAAGGAAATAGTACTGAAGTTGGTCAGAAATCTGCCAAACCACATGAATTTCAACATTTTCACTGATAATTGGTTTACATCTTAAAATCTACTTATTAGTCTGAAAGAACAGGTCTTTCTAGCTGCAGGGACTGCAAGAAGTGGGCTGCTGGCAGGCTGGTTCTCTTTTTTCAGAAGACAAAGTTCTAATGGTAGACGGTCGTAGATCCTCTGATGTAAAAATAGACAGCAAAAAATATTACTGCTCTCAAATAGAATGACCATAAGTCCGTCATATTAGCATCGAACTAAATAGGAAAATGTACTTTTGATAACCAGAAGAGATGGTGCAAAAAGAGCAAAATCTATGTAGAAATCAAACGGCCAGCAATTGTCAAAGAATATAGTATTTCGATGGGGGTGTAGATTTGTATGACATGCTTGTGGAACTTTATAGAATCAAAATCAAACCAAAAAGATTCTATTTGAGACTAATATTTAATATTATTGATACATGTATTGTCCAACAGTCCGACACAAGAAAATGGGGACGTCCTTCTCAAGAGAATACACCAAATAAGAGACAAGTAATATATCCTGTGCCAGTGCAAGATGTTTGATTTGATATTGTAAGACATTGGCCACTACATGATCAAAATCGCACAAGGTGCAAATTATGTATAAAGTATATACTCTACGTTTTTTCTTCTTTTTTATTGGCTTTGGCTTGAAACCTTTAGCCACGTAATTACATATAAAATATAAGTATTCATTCATACAGGATTGTACAAGGAGGACACTTTTCACGCTCAGGGATTCATCAGAGCGGCTCTATTGTAACAAACAAGACATAAACATAAACGGTTAGTTAGGTGGACAACATATATGGTAAACATTCAAAGGAAATGTTCAAGCATACCATCAATTATAGACTTATACCTTTAAATCATGAATGTGTTGCTTGTGTGAGTCCATTTCAAATAGGTAAAGAAATAATAAATAAGACTTACTCTCAATCAATTTAATTTAACTATCAGACGATCGGTTTCGCTTTCTACAAATATGCAAAGCATCCTCAAGTCTCGATACAAAGTTAAACAAATGCTGAAATAATAAAAACCCATATTAGAGTGTTGTTATTAGATAACACCCTAATATGGGTTTTTATTATTTCAGCATTTGTTTAACTTTGTATCGAGACCTGAGGATGCTTTGCATATTGTAGAAAGCGAAACCGGTCGTCTGATAGTTAAATTAAATTGATTGTAAGTCTTATTTATTATTTCTTTACCTATTTTATACCTTTAATTTAATTTTTACAAGAAATATCATAATTATTTTAGAGATTTTTATATTGTCTTCACTTAATAGAAGATTTACGTTTAATGGTGTACTTAAACCCTCTTTTATCAATTCTTTTAGCAGCCACGTGCTTGTATTACAGCTATACTAGTTCCACACTCACATCGGTCTGTTGGGAGAACTCCTATTTTGTGTAGATGTTTCGGAAAACACCCGTGATCTACTTTTAATCTCAAGACAGTTGACACTGTGTTTCTCCTTAGTGTAACATCTTTGTAAAAATTTTTTACATCTACTGTTGGTTGTAATTTGTATAAATTAGTGCCCCTGCTTTCACCAAACTGAATCCATCTTATGGATATGTTTCGAGTAAAGGCTTTTTCAAAATTTCAGGAAATACCTTCCTAAAGATAATCTTTTAGCAAACTATAAGGAAAGCTGCCTGAACACTAAAATTATTTTAGGGTGAAAAAGACGGCAAATATTTGATTTCACGCAAACAGCGCCTTTGTATCTGTTGATACGTATTTCGACCTAACAGGTCTCATCAGAACAGTTATTGAAAGGTGTTCTCAACGTGAAAGATCAATATTTTCTGTCTTTTAAGAAGCAACACTAAAATGGCTTCGATATGGACTCAATAGCGACATCTGATAATAAAACCGTAAAATAGTTTCGAAACACAATTCAGATTTCTGCTTTAATCTGTGCTTTCTAAAAATTGCAAAGCAAAACAGACGTTGATGAAGGTGTTAAAAGAGACGTGAAAAATCTAAAATTTGCATTCCCACGACACGTTTTTTCAACTAAGCAGAAATCCTTAGCGAATTGGTTTCTTGTACTCGTACAGAGTAGATCCGAATAAAGTGAAAAAAGACAGCAAATATTTGATTTCACAGCAAAATCAAATATTTGCTGTTTTTTCCGCCAAAAAAATGAAACCATTTCGCTAAGGATTTCTGCTTAGTTGAAAAGACGAGTCGTGGAATGCAAATTTTAGATTCCCTACGTCTCTTTTAACACCTTCATCAGTGTCTGTTTTGCTTTAAAATTTTTAGAAAGCATAGATTAATGCAGAAATCTGAATTGTGTTTCGAAACTATTTTACGGTTTTATTATCAGATGTCGCTATTGCGTCTGTATCGAAGCCATTTAGTGTTGCTTTTTAAAAGACAGAAAATATTGATCTTTCACGTTGAGAACACCTTTGAATAACTGTTCTGATGAGACCTATTAGGTCGAAATACGTATCAACAAATACAAAGGCACTGTTTGCGTGAAATCAAATATTTTCTGTCCTTTTCACTTTATTCGGATCTACTCTGTACGAGTACAAGAAACCAATTCGCTAAGGATTTCTGCCTAGTTGAAAAGACGTGTCGTGGAATGCAAATTTTAAAATCCCCACGTCTCTTTTAACACCTTCATCAACGTATGTTTTGCTTTGCAATTTTTAAAAAGCACAGATTAAAGCAGAAATCTGAATTGTGTTTCAAAACTATTTTACGGTTTTAAAATTATTTTAATTTGCATATTTATGATATATGTATTAACCATTCTGTAGAGTTTTGTAATAATTCTATTGTATTTAATAAGACTAAAGAGTACTGGGGTTGATGTTGGATATTTTCATTTTTCATCGATGTTATCGAATATCTAAATATCGATGGCAAAACATGGACCATTGAGCCAAGGATAACGATGTTTATCAATTATCGATGAATATGGCGCATACCTAGTTTTAGTTTCAGTTTGTTTTGTCGGCTTGTTGCATCGCAGTCTTCGATCAGTCGTCATTGTAAGTGTTGTTTACGTTTTTATTCTTTTATCGTGTTTCTCGTTAATACTTTCAAGTGTTGTTTTCTATATAATTCTAGCGTTGCTTATATTTTACATTGATATAAAAGTTGATAAGAAAAGAAAAATTAAACCAGAAAACATGCAGTTTCAACCTGAATGGACAGCTTTATATTGTTTCACTTTGCCAAACCGAGTTGGAGCAGTACATGTTTGTCTGATTTGCCATCAGACTGTGGCAATAACTAAAAGTTCGAATGTTAAACGGCATTACGAAACAAAACATAAAATATTTGAAGAAAAATCAAGAATAGGAACTCTAATTCGTAGAAGAAAACTTGAGAGTTTACTTTCAAATTACGCTACATCTACGGAAATTATTAAGCGATCAATGACCGATCAAGAAAAATGTTCTGAGGTATCCTTAATGCATTTCCTGGAAGCTTGCCGAATATATGAAGCCATTTATTAACGCGGCTATCATTAAAGGGTGTTTCTTTAATCAGAAAATTCATTATTTAAAAATAAGGATAAGGATGTTATCGATACTATTCCAATATTTACTACTTCAAGCACAAGGAATACACAGGTATTGGCAGATGAAACATACAAAACGTTAAAACAAATCTTGGCTGTCACTAAATATTTTTGCTTTGGCATTGGATGAGTCATGCGACATTACAGCTTGTTTTTTTAGGGAGTACCTGGACAGAACCAGAGAAGATTTTGTTAAAAAAATTTTGACTATTTTCCCAATATCAGAAACTACTACAAGAGAGGATTTACACAAGGCTAGGGTGGACTATTTTGGCAAGCATGGTTTGTTTTTAAAAAATGTTATATCGATCACTACGGATGGCGCTGCAGCGATGGTTGGGTGTAGAAAAGTCTTGGTTCAGCAACTAAGTAGCGATTCTATGTGCAATAAAAATCTAATATGTGTTGCAGTTTAAATCCAATTCTACACAGTAAAATTCAAACCGCCATGAAGATATACTTGACAACATAATAGAATTTCTGTCTACTATTAATATTGAAGTTGCAAATGACCATTTGGGCTTCCTTCTGAACACAGAAAACGGTGCAACCATCGCATTTTTGGGATATCGGATATCTTCAGACATCTGAACTTCTTGAATTTAAAACTACAATGCAAGGGAACACTTGTTTGTGAACTTTTGTCGGACATTAGAAGATTTTCTAAAAAGATTGAATTTTTTTCTGAGGATATTTAGGCAGAACTTTTGAACTTTCCTCTCAATCCGTTGGTGATAGTAATCTTCGGTTATTTGGGAT